AGAGAGAGAGAAATTGGGTTTAACGTCCACTCGACACAAACTAGGTCATTTCGGGACTAACATATGGTTTAATTTTATTTCAATAATTCGCTTGCGCGTTGGTGTCTTTAGCAGTAGGAGGAAACCGGAGGACCCGGAGAAAACCCACGAGTTTGGACAGGCGACCCTACCCCTTGACATGTACAAACGGGGATTCGAACTCATTAAATGGGATAGATATTATATCCTCATTAGTGAGGCAAAGATTAGTCTGAAGTTAATGAAACAAATGAAGTAAATAATGAAATGTGTTTTTTTAACTTATGTTTAAAACAGAACTTCGGCCATTTTGAGACTAACCTATGGTTATTTTTCTTCTTTGTTCTGTGAACTCTGGCGATGCATTGTTGTTGGACAGTGCTGTTTGCGTCTACTCTTTATCGAATTCCAACTTTTAAGGGTTCTTTTACATGCACATTAATCCGTACAAGGGTCGACCCCGTCTATCAGACAAGAAACTGAAAGTCCAAGAAAATATTTAAAACTTGAATATAAAATCAAGTAAAATGAACATCCAAATATTGTAGGGTACTGGGACAGCATTTTCTCAAACATAATATACACAATGAACTGAACTGAAATGGGGTTTAACGTCCTACTATTCTGCACCGACTTTACAGTCTACAATGGGGATATTTGCCCAGACAGCGACACTTCGAACTACTCTTACATCGAATTCCACACGGGACCTCGAATTTTCGTTCCATCCGAACAATATACGTTGTCTTTTGCCAGGCCCTCCGTTCTGCACCGTGTTATGGGTCGCATGTCATTAACCACCCTATTAAAGACATACTGTATCGAGAAGAAACCTTTGATAAGAATTCCACACAGGACCTCGATTTGTCGTTCCATTCGAACCAATATACGTTGTCCCTTACCAGGCCCTCCGACCTGCACCACTAACGAGGGGGGGGGACGCCTAAAAATCTCGATGAAATTTCTCGGTCAACATTGGACCTCCGGGTTAGCAAGCCAACGTCCTACTCACTGAGTCACCATGGCTCCCCCAAACCTAATATAAAAGGTAATGTAGATATTGTACAATCAATGTGTCATAGTAACATTCCAATATGACCAGCTTATGCAGTGTATGTGTCGCATCTAGTTCGATACGCGAGAACTTGTTCCTTTTATTCTGATTTGTCATCTAAGCTTCAACTACAGGGATACTTGCCCACTAAACTTACAAAAACCTTTTAAAAGTTTTATGGCGGTCATATTGACTTGATTAGTGAATATAGCATGCCTCTCTATACTATTTTCCTGATTAATTTAACACTGTTTATCACGTGCATTTTGCATACGGATAGTCCATTGATCAATTACGGTAGCTTGGATGCAGCTATGGCGGTTGTGACGTCAGGCCAGGTTAGCTCACTCATCCGGACACCTGTTACCACTGTTTGTCGTGTATTTTATGCACGGTGAACAGTCCATTTGCTGATTACACTATTTTGCCGATAACGTTTTTTAGGATTTCGAATTTTGTCTAATAGTCTGGATTGTTCGTACTTGGTTTTATTTTATTTATACAACACGTCGCTACTACAGTTCGTCTACTTGAAATGAAATGAAATGAAAAGAAATGAAATGGGGTTTAACGTCCTACTGTTCTGCTCCTAACCTGGGCTAATGAAGACGGGCATACGCCATACAGTGTGCTATGAGGGAAATTTTGCCCGGACAGCGGCACTACGGCCTACTCTTATATCGAATTCCAACTGCCAAGGGATCTTTTACGTGCACGCCAATGTGTACACGGGACCTCGGTTTTTCGTCCCATCCGAACGACTAGACAGCTTTCCTTGTCAGCCCCTCCGTCCTGCATCACTGACAAGGGAGAACCACGCCGGAAAATCTGGATGAACTTTCTCGGCCAATGCAGTCTACTTGAATGTTTTGTGGTTCAACATAGTATGTCACGAATTTCAGTTAGGTCGAGTCAATCAGGTGTGTTGTAAATTTCACGCTTAAAAATTAGGTCATAGTTTTCAGAGATTTCAGAAGGTCCTACAAGTGCCTACAACAATAAAGAAGAAAAGTAGTCATTGACGACTGCGTTAGTTATACTTTATAGGCGACCATAGCTGCCAAAAATTACAACTTCTAATTAATCGAAGTCAGTGTATTTATTCCCGGTAATTTTCACGAATTGTGCTGATGTACTTCGAGTGAAAACTTTTTAAATTCTTATCTGAATTATAAATTAATATTAATATTAATATTTTTTCAAGTCAGTTCTTCAGGTTCTATCAGTCATAGTCCCTGTTGCGCTTATTATTGGTATAGGTGCATAAAAAGTCAATTTTACTTGGTGTATGGAAGACAATCTCTAACAAAATTATCTTCTGAATATTGACTTACAGCCAATTGGTGATAATTTACAATAAAGATAACCTGTCAGTTTCCATTGAAGTAGAAGGGAGAATGTCTCCTATAGACATCAATAATGTGCCTGGATTAGGACAAGTTGAGGCGAAGAGTATAATAGAAGAAAGGGAAATATTAGGGATTATTACGATGACAGATGCAACTGAGGTCACGGGGTTGCAACCTGATATTTGGCGCAAATGGGTTGATGAGGGCCGTGTTACCCTTGGCACCGTCTTTGATGGCAGGCAAGTAGATGCCCCACAGGCGTTGACTTTAGCCCAGTTTGAAGCTAGTCAATCGAAGCTTTATGATCAGATTATTAGGAGGTATGATGCACAGTTTGCGGTACAGTGTGAAGCAATCGAAAATCTTGTTGGCGAGGTTACTTCGGTGTTAGAGCGCTTTGGGTTACAGTTGCCCATGTCAGAAACAATGCCGACAACTTCCATTCCTATCCTATCTGACCCAGTTAAACTACCACATTCCAGTGAAACTGCAGACCCTGTGATCAACAACATATTGGGCGCCATTCCAGAAAGCAGTAAGAAAGGAAAGTCTTTATCCGATCACATATATTAAGAGTAATGTTCAGTCTTCGGTCCCTGCTGATGGCTATCATACTAAGATTCTCGATTCGCATAAAAATCCAATGACTTCTACTTGTTAACAGGAAAGGCTTACTTTGCCCTCGCTTTCAATCCCTTGATGCCAGTTGTTAATTCTCAACAAGCACCAGGTTCTAAGCCGGGTTGTGATGAGAGGTATTGTACCAATTTTCGACCAGTGTCACATGTTCGCACCAATGCTTTCATAGACAGGTTGAAGATTTCCCGTCGCGAAATGTCCACATCTTCCTTTTCGTCATCTGAGGTGGAAACTTATACCCCAATATCCCTTTTCCGGATTCAGCTCTCCAGTGCCCAATCGGGGGTATCAGAATTCAGGCTACCGCACTTCTTCTGATTGTAGCCAGTCTCAATCTCCTAACCCTTATATCCATCCACCTCAAGATGCGCGCAATACATTTGACCGCGCTCTTCTGGTCAGCTGTCCCAGTCACCATCTTGGTTTCGTCCCCACTATCCTTCACGTAAGCTACCTTGGAATCCTCGGCGTTCACCAGGTGGTGCCGCCACGGAACAACACGCACATTGGCAATCAATTTCTAGGGACAGAAACGATCCTTTAAACTTCAGTCGGCTGGCTGTGAGGGTGTTCAACCAGTCTTAAAAACAGAATGTCCAATTCTGTTCGAAGGGATCCGTCTGGGTTGAGGTTAATTCTACTAGTCCAGTTGTTTGGAGACAAGTTGATACAGTGATTAATACTGCTGTTATGGTTTCCTTGGTTTTAACTTCCTTTTTGAATGGGGTGGAGAATGTGGAACTCGGCAAAGCAGTTCGACTCAAAGGGATCGGTTCGAAGCTGAACTCTGGTTATTTGCTATCTGCTGTTACCATATTCATTGAAAGCTCTTTCTCGCAAAAGAATAAATGCGTGGTGAACTCGTGGAATTGAGATGGGGAAGCGGTTCTTATTCTTTCGATAAATTGCATACCCTCTTCTGAAGCAAATATTTCAAAGAAAACCTGTACCAGTGTTGTAGACGACTCTAATTGCTTTGTTTGTTTACAACAAGGTTCATATCTTGCAAATTCCGAGTTTATTTAACAGTTGGTGGCTCCAGATTCTGCTACCAAATTTCATGTCCAGACAGTTTCCATAGGAGTCGAATTTGGTGTTATAAATATTGAGCCATCTCATGTCGATTTGAATTCAATACCAATGTTTTTAAACAAGAAGGTTGGAGTGATTCGAGTGTGTATCAACTTTCCCATCGTTTTCGATGAGTCGGAGATGACTGGTCTTTACATGGTCCCCCGTTATACCGATAGTGAAATAAGCATCCGCGAATGGAATAAAATCTCTGTCATGCTTACCCGGTTACCTTCGAAGGCAAATCCCTGGGATTCAGAGTTAAAGCTGTACTCACCAGCAGTAAGATCTTTGTGGCTGCGTCCATTTAACCAAATCCTTCAAGAATAAGAAGCCGTTGCCCCCTTGGGAGGATTGCTGCAGTGATGTTACAGAATATGACAGACTTGCAGTTGACGAATCGGTTCCAGCTGATAAATTGGCTGGGCAAGTGTGGCATGTTTCATTCCGGATGAAGAGTTAGATACGACTATGCCTGTAATCTCCACCAGGAGTTTAGATGATTTTATTATGTACATATCTGTGTTTAGTTTTATTGGAGATTTTACACTGTAGATATTTTTTACGGTCATTAGAGATTTTAGCCTGTATATACTGTTCATGAAATATTTGTACATACTGATTTTAACAAGATCTGGTACCTGTAGGATGTTCGCCGAAGTGTTGTAAAATTCCTCCTGTACCCTTATCCGTGCCAACAAAATGGGGAGGGATGTTGTAAATGAGGAGCTGTCCGGGCAAAATTTCCCTCATAGCACACTGTATGGCGTATGCCCGTCTTCATTAGCCCAGGTTAGGAGCAGAACAGTAGGACGTTAAACTCCATTTCATTTCATTTCATTGTAAATGAGGAGTTTTATAAAGGTCACGTGATTTAGTGTGACGTAACTGACTTTAAACGAGTCAATTATTATGCAACACGCCGCTACTGCAGCTCGTCTACTTGAGTGTTTGGTGGTTCAACATAGTAAGTCAGGAAATATTACAATACCATTAATAGAGAAATATGTCCAGGTTTGACAGGTATGTATTCTCCTTGAATATATAGATAGTAAAACTGTTGGATAAAGCACACTGTATTAATATTAAGACCGATGCCCATATTATGTAATCGACCAATTTTCAAGAAACAATCCGACTAATAAAAACCACAATGATGTAGGCTACAATCAATATAGGCCTGTGTATATGTATATTCGTTTCATAAAAGTAAACTAACGAATGTTTGTATATACGACATAGAAATACACTATATATAGCTTATTCAAAGTTACCCTTTTATGAAACGTACACGATGACATTTAAATAGGTCAAAATGTAGGAATACTTCAGTTATTCAACTAGAAACAGTCGGACTGTTTTGAAACTGTTAATATATGGTGATCCAACGAGGCCATCAACTATTTCCATATTACTCTATGGTGACCCAACAAGATCATCAGCATTTTCGATAATTTAAAACAACGGTTATCCAATGAGACCACCAATCATTTCGATGCACGGAATCGTACTGTGGCATATAGTTATATAGTTTATATATATATATATTTATGCCCATACTTTTTCTCGACTCTTTGATGAAAATGGGAGGGTATACACCGATACACGGCCACTTTGAAAAGTGGCCGTGTATCAGTTGAAAAGGGACAAAAATAACAAAATCATGATTTACATATTTATTTGAACATCTACAACCCGTTTTGAACATGTTATGGTAAAAGAGTCATCATTTTCAACTGTCTCAGCACTTTTCGAATGTGCGTCACTCTCAGTCAGATTCTTACATTTTGTCTCACATTTCTTTACATTTTGGTTTTTTAGTCACACTTTCACATTTTGTCGCAGTTGATGAATTGATCTGTGCGGAAATTAGCACATGTACCATGCTTATCAAAAAAAGTTAAAATCCAATCTTTTGTACTGATCTCGAAGTGTCACCATATTCCTATGCAATTGGTATTTTTCCTCGTGTTTGGCAGAATTCGACTCATCTGCATGGCTTTAATTTCTTGTTCTGTGAAGGATCGGGCTTCTAAATCTTCGCGATCATTGAAATCTCTTGCAGAGCTGATATTCTCGGTCTTAGAAATGTATATCTGTGACATTATAAAGTAGGATTCTTCGACGAATTCCCGCATTCATTTCTGCCAGGATGTTGGCAAAACAACAAGAAATGATGACGTTTGCTTTTCTCAACCAATCAATATCCCTGTTGTGAACATTTTCCCTGACCTGACCTGATTTAAACCGTGAAATGCACGTGCGGTGTACTGACATCATTTACCTGAGTAGAAATAAGCGTTTGAGCCCCACTCAAAAAAGAGACGGTGTATCAACCCATACACCTTGAAAACAAGGTATATAACTATTACATATCCATGTACTGTAGCCGTCTTAATAATTTAGCACTACTTTAAGGCAATGAAAATTCTTTATAATTTAAAAAAATACGGCTATCCAATGAGGCCATTAGTCAGTTCGACAATACTAAACAAAAATGACCATAAAACACTGTAGTATAAATATTGTCTTGAAAAGGCATCACCACAGAGCATCATTGATCCATTGTGTATACGTTCCGTTTTCCGTGGTATGTAAGGACGTCAGACGTCAGCGGTGACCTTTGGCCTCGAGGTTATTGTATTAGTTCAGGCTTCTGAAATCCTTCGCTTAGCTATGGCTCTATTTGACGAAAAGTAACACGCGACAGGATATGCCCACTCTTTCTCGGTAGCACTTCTTATTGTATATTAAATATGGAAGGGGATCGACGCCACATTAAAAGACATGTAAACACGAGTAGAAGTTACTATGTCAGCATATGAAAGTGTTGTTTTGATGATTTTTCCATGTTCGATTTTACAAAATAGAAAAGTATTGTCCACTAACGAAAAAACACATGTACAAATGCGCCTTGTAACGTTTGTATTTTCTACATCTGATCTTTCAACTGTTGTAATTTCTACTAGTGCATAATCGACATATGTAACTTCGACATCGGTATTTTCTTCCAATGTAATTTCTCCACATGTCACATCCATCAAGGCGTGGTTCCGATTTTAGCCGAAGCTTGCGTCATAAAAACAAAACCTCCCTTCAAGTAGTCTCGGTCATCCAGACAATATGGCTCCTCCGCGATAGCTCCCTCGACTAACGGGCTTGGATGACCGAGGCTACCCTTCGAGGAAAGTCATTCCTACTACCAGAAAGTTGCATGGGGAGCATCAATAATTTTTAACGGAAGTTAACACTAACATATTGTTTTATGCTAAATTTTAATACAACTTTTAATAGTTTGCTTTCTTTGTTATTTTTATGTGTCTTGAATTCACCATTTCTGGTGTTCATGTCGTTAACATAATTTTGAATGCATAGTTATAGTTTCGAATAAAGAACCGCCCCTGTCGGCCCTGTCGTCTGCTCCACATTGGTGACATCGTTCAATCGTAGCCATGGACAATAATAATCAGGTATATTTATGTTTGAATATCTTCCACAAAAAACTTGTTCTTAGAGCACATAAGCGTACAAATATACTACATAAGTGACACAGGTCTTTCTTCTTTTTTTGGTTGTCAGATGGTAGCACTATCTACACTACAGTTCTACACTCGTTCAGTCGTTGAGTCGTTATAGTTTCACGCGTAGACGCCGTAGATACCACATGGTCAATGAAATGGGGTTTAACGTCCTATTTTGATGTATTTTTTGTATTGGCTAATGAAGACTGGCATATACCATGCAGGGTGCAATGAGGGAAATTTTGTCAGGACATCCATCAATAACTCGCCTAGCCCTAGCTAGACTATGTCTATGAAATGAATCACTAGGCCTACTACTACTAGTACTATCAGTATCTCTAACAATTTCCAACTGTCTGGGATTTTTAGCATGCGCCCTGTCCTGATGCAGCACACTGGACCTCGGTTTTTCGTCCCATCCAAACGACTAGGTGCTATTCTTTGCCAGCCCCTCAGCTCGGGTCTGCATCAATGTGACTGACAAGGAAGGGGAATCCGTCATGAGTTTTTGTGACCGGGAATCGAATCAACAACCTGGACCTGGTTAGTAAGCAAGCTCCGTAGTCACTGAGCCACTGCTGCTCCCCATATAATAAATAAGAATGATAAATAAATAGCTCTAAATAAATATCATGAATGATCATCTGATCTGGATGTCCATTATTCATCAAATATGCATCGATTTAGAAAGGGGTAGGGGTGAAGGTTACCTTGATCATGGCCTGACGCCCCCCTGAAATTGCGCCGTTGATTACAGTCTGGCTACGGGCCTGCATATTATATTATAATGAATCAAGGCCAATGCAAGGTAGATAAGCTCTTATGTGATTGAGTGTAGTTTAGCTTTATTATAAGATTATAGTAAACAAACAATATTTTCGAGTTTCTATTAGATGGGGGTTGTTTTGAACATAACATGTATTACATTGGTCTAAAAAAAAAGGGTATCAAATTCCTGTCCTGACAAAATTTCCCTCATTGCACCCTGCATGGTATATGCCAGTCTTCATTAGCCAGTACAAAAAATACATCAAAATAGGACGTTAAACCCCATTTCATTGACCATGTGGTATCTACGGCGTCTACGCGTGAAACTATAACGACTCAACGACTGAACGAGTGTAGAACTGTAGTGTAGATAGTGCTACCATCTGACAACCAAAAAAAGAAGAAAGACCTGTGTCACTTATGTAGTATATTTGTACGCTTATGTGCTCTAAGAACAAGTTTTTTGTGGAAGATATTCAAACATAAATATACCTGATTATTATTGTCCATGGCTACGATTGAACGATGTCACCAATGTGGAGCAGACGACAGGGCCGACAGGGGCGGTTCTTTATTCGAAACTATAACTATGCATTCAAAATTATGTTAACGACATGAACACCAGAAATGGTGAATTCAAGACACATAAAAATAACAAAGAAAGCAAACTATTAAAAGTTGTATTAAAATTTAGCATAAAACAATATGTTAGTGTTAACTTCCGTTAAAAATTATTGATGCTCCCCATGCAACTTTCTGGTAGTAGGAATGACTTTCCTCGAAGGGTAGCCTCGGTCATCCAAGCCCGTTAGTCGAGGGAGCCATCGCGGAGGAGCCATATTGTCTGGATGACCGAGACTACTTGAAGGGAGGTTTTGTTTTTATGACGCAAGCTTCGGCTAAAATCGGAACCACGCCTTGATGGATGTGACATGTGGAGAAATTACATTGGAAGAAAATACCGATGTCGAAGTTACATATGTCGATTATGCACTAGTAGAAATTACAACAGTTGAAAGATCAGATGTAGAAAATACAAACGTTACAAGGCGCATTTGTACATGTGTTTTTTCGTTAGTGGACAATACTTTTCTATTTCGTAAAATCGAACATGGAAAAATCATCAAAACAACACTTTCATATGCTGACATAGTAACTTCTACTCGTGTTTACATGTCTTTTAATGTGGCGTCGATCCCCTTCCATAATTAAACACACTATAGAAACCCGTTGTCTACCTTGTGATTGTACATATTCTACTTGTAAATATCGTACACATCCAATGCGTTTGTTTTTTTATTACAGTGAAGCCATATGGAGGGATCTACGTCAGCGGGGATACTGTGTAATACCAAATGTGATTCCGGCTAAAAAGTGTGATGAACTTAGTCAAGAGTTAAAATCTTGGGCTCTGGCTCAAGATAATGGGGAACTTTTTAAACACCCATACTCCCTGACCAATGTTCCGCGGATAGGCCATCTAGAATCCGCGTGGAAAGCAAGATTGCTGGCCAAGGATGCTTTTGCAGCAGTTTGGGGAACAGACAAGTTGGTTTCTAGCTTTGATAAATTATCAATATGTCCGCCTCCAGAAATCAGCACTGGTGATTTCGACACTGGCTTCTCGTGGCTACATTTAGACAGAAGCGGAAATAGACGCGGTCTTCACGCATTTCAAGGTGGGATTTACTTAGAGGAAACAACAGAAACTGATGCTTGTCTGCGAGTTATGGAAGGTTCCAGCAAATATACCGATGAATTTTTCTCTACGCATCCCGAGGCTACAAAACAAACCCGCGACAGGGAACATTATAGACTGTCCGAGGATGAGATCGCGTGGTATATCTCAAAGGGATGTTTCAAAAAAATAGTTCCAGCGCCAAAGGGGTCAGTAGTATTGTGGGATACACGAACAGTGCACGATAACGTCAAAGCAAAGAAGGGGAGACCACACGCGGATAGATGGCGTTACGTTGTGCTTGCGTGCATGCTTCCAGCAATCTGGGCTAGCGATGCAGAATTAGAATTCAGGCGTAATGCTTTCGAGAATATGTCGCTGACATGCCATATGCCATGTGTAAAAGTTCGAACCCACGTGTTCAGTGATGACATTCCAGAAAGTCTTAAAGCCATTCAGAAGATGCCCGATATTACTAAGACACCGGAAGTTCTAAGGTTGGTTGGTATTGAAAAATATGACTTTAATGACGGTAAACCGAATGGTCCTGAGGACAAACCGAAATGGACTTCAGATAATATTGAATCTTAAAGGACAATATTGGTGCCAGTCGTTATCACTTATGTGATAGAACTGGTTAAACACGTTCGAAATATTATTTTATCACAGAGATCATTACTACGATAGATGAATAATCAATGTTTTAACAATAGGGGGGGGGGTGGCTGAATGGTTAGCGTGCGCGCGCTGTATCATACAGTCTGTCATTGAGTCGACTGGCGTGGTTTCGAATCCCCGGTTGTACGTGGCAAGGAGTAGGGTCGCCTGTCCAACCTCGTGGGTTTTCTCCGGGTCCTCCGGTTTCCTCCCACTGCTAAAGACCCCTACGTGCAAGCGAATTATGTAAATAAAATTAAACCATATGTTAGTCCCGAAATGACCTAGTTTGTGTCGAGTGGACGTTAAACCCCATTTCTCTCTCTCTCTCTCTTTCAACAATAGGAATTGACGAACGCAAAAGGAAAACACGAGTTATCCTTCTATATAACTTGCTGAAGTGACGGGTGATAACAGATACATGGGCGAATTTCTGCTCACTAAAAATTCCTTTGAAGACCAAAAGTTGTTATATGAGACTGTAAGAGTATATCTGACAATTCAAAAGATAGGTTGCCAGACAAAGAAACATACGCCCACAACAGCTAAATCGTCCGAGCAGTCAACAAGAGTTGTCGCATATTTTTACTTTTTTCGATAATGAAACATTTATAATACACTAAAATCTGATTAAGAGCAACAACTCATGAAGTAATTATCAGAAAACCATTAGAATTTGTTTGTTTTTATAAAGTTCTGCCACAGTAATTTGACAGTAATTATCGGAAATCGTTGAAAATCAATAGGATTCTTCGTCTTATGACCTTAAACACTGTGTATAAATTTAAAGTCAATCAGATATTAACTTTGGCCTCTAGAGCGTCCACAAGATTTTTCAAAGTGATCAAGGGCCATAACTCTGGCAGTAATTATCGTAAATCGCTGAAAATCAATAGGCTTCTTCGTCTCACGACCTTAAACACTGTGTATAAATTTAAAGTCAATCAGATATTAACTTTGGTCTCTAAAACGACTCTCACTAGATAAGAGTACATGAAAGAAAAATAGAAACAGTCCGTACATTCACGGGTGTTTATTCATTCTATACTAATAAAAACATGGTAATGCACGGACTGTTTCTATTTTTCTTTCATGTACTCTTATCTAGTGAGAGTCAATTTTGTTTATGAATTGTCAGATATCCTTTCACAGTCCCATAACACAACTTTTGGTCTTCGAAGGAATTATTAGTGAGCAGAAATTCGCCCATGTATCTGTTATCACCTGTCACTTCATTCAGTTATATAAAGGGATAACTCGTGTTTTCCTTTTGCGTTCGTCACTTCCTATTGTTGAACCATTGATTACCCATCTATCGTAGCAATGATCTCCGTGATAAAATAATATTTGGAACGTGTTTAACCAGTTCTATCACCAGTTTCCTTTTTGCTGTTTCATTTGAAGCAAATTAGTGTGAATGGAATATGAAATAAAATAAACCGAATCGCAGTACATCTTCGTAAAATGTAAAGGTTTTAAACGGAGAAATCTACAAATATATAGTTTGGCGGTTGATCTTTAAAAATAAATTCAGATTAATCAGTTTTACACTATGTTTAATGATGCTATGATTTTGTTTTTTGTGCTGTATATAATGATGGAATTGACAATTGATTATTGCTTTACTATGAATCTTTTACAAAATAGTGATTTTTCACAGTAGACAATCTCTAGATAATACTGAATCTCCAGGCAATCTTACTTCTTTCATCTACAATAGGGAATAGTTTGAATCTTTTGCTATATGAATAAGATCTTTTACTGTGTACATACAAATTGTACTATGATAATATGTGAAATAAATAATTTTGTGTGGTGTTTTTTTTTTGTTTTTGTGTGTGTGTGTGTGTGTACAATTACGAATTTGTGGAAATATTCAACGTATGTGGAAATCGAGTAAGGTGCTTGATTACTTACCAGGAGGTCAAAGTTTAGGATAGATTCCGGGGAATAGCCGAGATATTTAGAGTGATTCCCCTTATCGTTGGTGCAGAACGGAGCGTCAGGGGTCCTAGTCTTGATCCCGGTGCTAGCTGAGAATGTACCTCGGGATTTACAGAGTCATTCCCTTTGTCGGTGGGGTAAGGGGCCCTAGTCTAGATTCTGCTACTAGCCTACAAGGTTACTCGAGATATTCAGAGTGAATGGCGAGAAACATTGTCTAGTCGTTCGGGTGGTAGAAAAAAGGTAGGCGTGCACGTAAATTTGTCACACACTGCATGTCGTTTTTCATCGTCATTAGCCCATGTAATGTAAATAATTATGAGGCGAAAGCTCGTTTCATTCATTCTTAACGTATGTCATCTTGGAGTGAATTGATAACAACATTGTCTTGACAATGTATTAGATTTATTTCAATGTAATCTTTCATACTGAAATTTGTTCTCTTTCTGTTTCATATTTTTCGCAAATGTTCTGAGACGGCTGCAATATTTTAAACTGTACGTACATGACGCATTGCATAATCATGTGTCATTATTTCTGAAAAAAAAAAAAATATTGCATTTAGACATGACGCATTACATGATCATGTGTCATTCTTTCAGAAAGATAAAACCTGGTGTGATTAGATGCATTTTATCAAACATGGCAATAGCATTAATAATAGTAATTACCTGTATTTCGAAGGTTAGAAATTAGGATAACGAACTGTTTTAAACAATATATTTACCATTACCATATAATATACATAATATATAAAAGATGCAGCAGTTCATAATTAAAATTAATATTTCAATATTACCATTTCCTTTTCGTGTAAAAAGCCCTTAAAACCTCTGTCTTAGGGCCGAGCAACTAGCTTACTATACGTTTCAAACAACTTAAACCCGTCAGTCTTCATCTGGAAATGGAAACCGGTGTCCCAACCTGCATTATACGGTGTCTGGGTAAAACAAGACTTTTATTTCATAAAAATAACGTATAGGAGAAATTTACCATTCGTTATGAAGTACAGCACACGCATCACGCATTATTTTGACCTCTAAAGGAACCGTGATAGATTATCAGGTCACCCAACGTGTCCAGATAAGCGGTTTTGATGACTCAGTATTTTGAGCTGAAATTTTCAGACAAGGTAAATACACCATTCCTCTATATTTTGGCGTTTATATTTCATACGTACACAGATTTTTATTTCTGGGACTCTGTTAAAATCGGGATGATCCCTTTAGTTGGCAGAAGGAAAAAAAGTTAATATTGGGGTCTTGTCGATGTCATCCCTATCATTATAGCGACCTAGCGAATATTCACTGCTGATCAGTGTGCACATTGTAGTCTAACCAATTTTCTGTCAATACCATTTTATTTCAGTTACAGGTTCGTGTGTACTATAACCCAACCCGTACTACTATAGGACACGGGTTTACGTCTGCTTCTGTCTAGGGTGTAAATAATGCGTTTAGATATACCCGTAATTACAATACCAAGCCCTGTTTACCAATACAGACAATTTGATTGGTCAACTAATTCACGTGACATGATAATAATCTTATCTGACAAACTAACGAAAGAACAAAAAAATATTAAAATTAAAACGAACAGTAATCGAATTAAAAACAAAATAGGGACGTGATATGATAACTCTTATTGTAAAAGTGGTTTTCTTTGGGTTATTATCTGAATATAAGAGGAATCCAATTTGTTGTTTCTTAGTAATTTATTTAGTGAAGATATTTGATTATTAAATTTCAAAGAATAATAACAATATATCATAAATACAATGTATAGGGTGGTGTAGCTTATAATCATATATATGCATAGGGTGGTGTAACTTATAATATATATATATATATATATATATATATATATATATATATATATATATATATTTTACAGTATTATGAAATTATATATATATATATATTTTACAGTATTATGAAATTATATATATATATATATATTCATTAATGCTTACGTAAATTTTGAAATATCTATTAAACTAATACTCGATTCTACTAATCGTACTTATCCGATATATTATGATATAATTCTAAATCCTAAGTTAAGATAAATATATATATATATATATATATATATATATATATATATATATATAAAGTTTAACATTCAAATTGTACATAGACCGCTTACCTGTATATAAGACGAATCCAATTTGTTGTTTCTTAGTAATTTATTAAGTGAAGATAAAGGTGAAATTTGAGCTAGATTATTTATATCTTCCAAAAGTCCCGGCAAGTATTGACAGCCACGTGTAGGGTTAAACTCATTTTTGATTGGCGGAAAACCATTAACGAAAGACGCCCATTTCTCGATACGAAGTCTGATTGGCCAGATCGAGACTCGCTGGGTTAAATATGTCAGGTAACGACATTGAGTAATAGCGTTAGTTTAATCCTAGCGTATTGTTTTAAAAGTTTAAACCGTCACCATTAATCTTCCATAATTTCGTCTAGATAAACAATCAATAAAGGACCCTCTATTAAAGCTCTTTGATACAGGTATACAATTATATTATATTACTTTAAATCTATTTACACCCATCAGTGTCAAGGTCGATTTATGCTTATTATGGAATTATTCATTTGCCGTCTTTAATAAACATATATACATTTAAAATAAACTATAGAATCTATGAAATATACATTCTTTAAAATACATAAAAATTAAATATCTAAAATAAAATATGTGTGCATATTTCGTCAATATGCACTGTTACAGTATTATTCGACAATGGAAGCGCATTTGAAAGATAGATTTATTTTATGCAAAATCGAATTGCAACTGTCAAGGACCTCGAGTTTTCGTCCCATTTGAACGCATAGGCATCTTTTCCTTTGTCGGACCTTCCGTTCACCAACACGAGGATTGTGAAACCCCGGCTGGAAAATTCCGATGAACTTTTTCGGAAACGCCGCGACCTCCTGGCATGTTGATTTATAATACATTAAATTATTTAAAGCAATACTTTGTGCTTAACAGAACACCACTCAAAACAACCAGGATTAAACAAAGAGTTCTTTTTTACTCAACATGCAATTTGAAGCCACATTTCTGTTCTGTTTGATATCCATAAATATTTTATGCGATCTGCTGTACGTCTGTAATCTCAGGTATGAATAATGCAACGATTGCATATCACTTAATGGAAAATCTATAGTCTTCCTATAGAGTTTAATCATGTAGATGTATAGAATAGAATATGTAAATAATTTAAATGTTATTTGTTTTGTGGAGACTCGGGTTATGCAATTAGAAGTAGATTCAGATTGTTATAAATATTCTTTATCAACACACCTATTAGCACTTTAAAAGTCCATAACTTTAAAAGCAAGCTTGACGGTACATATTTTTGGGTATATAAGCAAGTCCATTTTCAAAATTGAGAACGACGTATATATAAGTATAATGTCCCCTAAAAATTAAAAAAAA